CACTGAGAAGCAGGATAGTTTAGCTTTGCCAGGGTTTGAATCCCATCTAGCTGTATAACCCTGGGTAAATGATACAGTCTGTGTCCTATTTTTCTCATCTATAAAAGAATATAACACCTACCTCACAGAGTTGTTATGAGATTTAAATGAGTTAGTATGTTAGAAAATTACCTGGTATTTGTAAATGTTAGCTGCTGTTATTATTAGCTGTTATTATTATCAGCCCTTTCCCAGACTTAATATATATTTCTGTTATAAAAGTTATAACTTTACCTTATAAATGTTGATTTCCATACCTTTTCTGTTATGGTAGCATAATGGTAGAGTCCATTCTTTATTTGTCTTGTGTATCTATGACTTTGTGCTGTGCAGGCAATATACGTAATAATGTATATATGTAATAAATATTTTCTAATGTGTAAAATACTCATTCTGCTTTGAAATAAAATCAGCTTTCACTCTAATTAGTTGTAATTCATTGCTATTTGACTTATTTAAAAGTTTTTTAAAAATTTCTTTTCAGTAGCTAAGCTGAATAGCTATTATAAACATATGTACTTAGTATATCTCACTTTGTGTTTTCTTTTTTTTTTCCTTCTTCTTTTTTTGGTGTGATGGTGGAAATAGTGCCTCAGTGTGTTTGGAGAATAAATCTGGATATCCCTGAGGAGGCTAATCAGAATCTTTCATTCAGTGCTACTGAGCGATGGTGGGAACAGACAGATTTGACCAAACTAATCATATCAAATAATAAACTTCAGTCACTTACAGATGACCTCCGGCTGCTGCCTGCACTCACTCTTCTTGATGTAAGTTGGCTGATTATAAAAATGGATCTTTAGTTGAAGAGACTCTAATGCTAAATTTAGGCTTTGAGAAGCAGAAAATCCATGTTCAATTGATAGAGTACAAGGAAGAATAACATATTATTGTTAGGCATAGCATAATGATTAAGAGTGCAGATTCAGAAGATCCTGCTTCAAATTCTGACTGCCACTTGATAGCTCTATGATCTCAAAAAAAGTTACTTCTTTGTGCTTCAGTTTCAATATCTATAATTCAGTTCTGATTCTACTGCCTATTTTTAAAAATTATTCTTTGAATTAAATGAGTTAATGCATTCAAACAGAAATGGTATTTAACAAGTGCTTGCTGCTTCTCTTCTTTTTTTATTGCTATTATTTTTATCATTATTATTCTAGATATTAAAGCAAATATTTAAGATTGATTTTTTAACTTATCTCTAACACTGACTTAAATTATTAGACTTAAATTTTTGTGTGTTTATCCAGGGGCTATGTTTTTGGTCTCTAGTTGCCTTGTCCTGCGGTAAAGTAAAGCATGAGTAATTTATTTCACATGTCTACAGACTTCTAATGTACTTCACTTAGGATTATCAAAAATCTTGCAGATTATGTCTAAAAAAGTTGAATGTAGTCAGATTTTTAGAGAAGTTTTATTTTTTTCAATTGTAAAATGAATGGATTGGCTTAAGTGTTCTCTTAAGGTTCCTTATACCTTGAAAACAGTATGATTTTGTAAGAACATAAGAGAAGTTCCCCATCTCATTTACTTTTTGTAAATGTTGACATAAACCATACCATCAGAGGGCTGTTAGTTTCTAATCCTCTAACCTCTCATTTCAGATTGAAATTCCATTCAATAAAGTGAAGGGTTTTTTTTTATTGTAATATTTAAAAATTTTAATTGTAATATTTAAAATTTTTAATTGTAATATTTAAAATTGATGTCTTATCACTTCATGATTTCTGAACAGCAGTTTGGTCAGTTTCAAACTCTTTTTTTTCTCAGAAAAAAATCACCAAAAGCCCAGTAATGCTATTGAATTAGAAGAATGAGATTATCACTGAAGAATTTTGTATAATGGCAAAGCTCATGGTTAATTATAACACTGAGATATTGACTGTGTCTTTTTAACAATTTTTAGATACATGATAATCAGCTGACATCCCTCCCTTCTGCTATAAAAGAGTTAGAGAATCTTCAGAAACTTAATGTCAGGTAAAATTTAAGCTTATTTCAATATTGCTAGTACAAGGGTATAATTCTAGTATTTAAAAAAAATTTTTTTTCTAACACTAGAAAATATTTTTGTATTATCTCAGAAAGTGGTTAAAGCAGAATAAGAGTTTCAGGTTTTAATTTTCAGATTATTTTATTTTTTGTTTTAGAATTGTCTACATGTTTCCTGATTTTACATATTTAAGGCCAGTTGATTTTTTAAAAATATATTTTTTAATTTTTATGAAACAATATTTAGTGACTATCTTCAAAATCTTCATTGTTGACATTTCAAGTTTTAAGTTCCTTTAATTTTCTAAAATATATATCTAGCTGTTAAACAATACGAAGAAATTTAAAACAGTTTTTTTCATAAGTGAGGAAAATATCATGTTTTTGATATTTGTAGTTTTTAAACTTTTCTGAGGACTTCTAAGTTTCCACGGATATGTTTCTGGTACTCATTGATAGGTACTTGAGAGGCCAAGTGGCTGACTTTGCCCTTCAGTACACACCCAGCCTTTCAAGAAAGAATAACTGTCTTTGAGGGGAGGATATAGCTCAGTGGTAGAGCTGCTGCTTAGCATTCATGAGGTCCTGGGTTCAATCCCAATACCTGTGTTAGAAAATAAATGAATGAAAATAAAATAAAATAATATAAAATAAAACTAATTACCCCCCCCCAAAAAGAATAACTGCCTTATGTTAGGGGATTAGGGGAACAATCAGGGGAAAAGGGATTAAGGAAGATTTAATTTAGGATAAAAAACAAAAAGGTTTAAGTGTTAGAAACATAGTTTGAAAAACTGTGGGTTATAAAATAGATTTGATTATAGATGTATATACGTAACATAATCAGGTCTCAGTTTTCTGGAGTTAATTGGTTTGAGGGAGAACAGTCCTCAAATAGGAGTCCTTACCTAGTGAAGAACTTAAAATTACCATAAGTTAGCAAAAAAAAATCTATACACAGAAATTATTCAGAACATTTCTGCTGATTGCTTAGAACTACATCAGAACCTCTTCCCCTTACAAGCCAAAGGCATAGATGTGGCCTGAAAAGGCAAGAATGGAGAGGATTGAAAGGAAGAGGAAAGGGAGGGAGTATGGAGTGGGTGTGGCTTTAGCTTCTAGCATTTAAGAGTATGAGCATTAGGATGGAGGAAATAGGTGATGAAAGGAAATGAAGCAAATATATAGCTCGAATTATATATCTGCCCAACAAGATCTCTGTCAAATATACGAAGATTTCAATTAAATAATTGACAATAGCAACTAATTTTTCACAATTTTTGGTGGTTTATATTTTAGAAGACATCTTTGGGCATTTTTGTTCCAACAGGTTTTATTTTAATATAATTTAAGGTCATTGTTACACCTTTATATTTCTCATTTCCTCCCTCTTATTTGTGAAGTAATTGTATATGGCATGACAATAGAGTAGAATTCCTAAGTAAATAGTTAAGTTGGCATGAACCTGCGAATGAGTTAAGTCATCTCTTAACTATCAGGGAATGTATCATTCTCAGTGACTTGGGACTTCTACACCAGTAAGCTGAATATCTCTTTAGAAGGACTAAGCAGAACAGTTAAGACCAAGTACAGATAAGTTTGGGGTTGCATATTATATTCAGCTGGACATGCCAGGCCCTCAAACAGAAATAGCCATTTTTGTCTTGAGTGCTAAATCGAAACTTAATCCCCATATAAGATGTGACTTTATTATAATGTTTGTATGCATTTATCTTTGTCAAAATTCTAAAACTCAGAAGCAGTATAAAAATTTAGAGTCCCATGTATTTTTTTCACATTACATGTAAAATCAAGTTGATTAAAAGGAAACAGTCAAAAGTTCACAAATTATTTGTTTGGTTAAAACTCTTTATTTCTTTGAACCCATTTGATTACTTTAGATTACTGTCATTTTAATGGATGTATATTTTTAGGATATGAAGTTTGGTAAGTACTTAAAATTAGTAACTGTATTTCATTTTTTAAATGAGCCCATGTAGTTGGTTAGCAAAATGCCTTTAGAAATATTTAATATGCTGTCACCAAATTGATCAGCATTTATTTTATCAATCAAAAGCCATAACAAGCTGAAAATACTCCCTGAAGAAATTACAAATCTAAGAAACCTGAAGGGACTATATCTCCAGCATAATGAACTAACTTGCATTCCAGAGGGATTTGAACAGCTTTTCAACTTGGAAGATTTAGTAAGTTGTGATTTCCCAATTTTTATATAATTTGGGGCTGGTGAGGCTTTTCACCAGACTAAGAAATAGGATGTATAATTGAAATCATGGGTACGTGGACAGCTGATTGTATATCTGGATTATAAGGAACTGTGCATTACAATTAGATTTGAAATTTATGGTTGTAAATTTGTTTTTCCTGCCTTTTTCTTATGAAGGAAATCACCTTAGGTTTTAATTTAAGAATAGAGTTTGGCAAAGGGGCAGATGAAGGTGATTTTGTCATTCAGAGACTTTTATGGCTTAGGAGAATAGAGGAAAAATGTTTTTAGTAATTCCCTTTTTTATGTCCATTTCCACTTCCTCCTAGGCCTTACGGCCTCTCTGTCCTCTAAGTGTCCAGGTAATGCCTTCAGGACCTGCCTTTTCTTCCCTATTTTTCAAAATGGCCACATTTCCTGGTAAAATTTTCATTCCATCTGTTTTTCATCTTAAATTGAGATAGCCATAGAGCAATTCAAATATTATTTTAATCATACTATTTGAAGAATAATAGGCCCTTTACATATAGCAAAGTAGATAAGTTTTATCCCCTGATGCAAATAAGAAAATAAGACTTATGTAAAAAAATAACTTATCCGAATCATGCAAATAATAAGTAAGGAGTTCAAGATTTTAACATAAGATTATTTGACTTCGTAGTGTATCCTTTTTCCCCCCACTTTACCAACAGGAGTGAGACTCCTTTGTAAGGCATCCTATCTGAAAGATTTTAGCTATATTAGATAAGAAGTTCTAATATATAATCTCTACTCCACAGAGTTATTTCATACTATATTCTTGTTCTTTTCTTTGTAACATGTTTTGAAAAACTCGATGTCATTTTAGCCTTAAAGTTTATTTTTTTTAAAGGAAAAATTACTTAACTTATTTTTTCTTGGTATTTCCCAGCTGCTATAGTGTTTGAAATTAAAATATATAATCTCCTCAGTCATTTCTTCCAGTATCTCTTTGTTTTTCAATCTGATCAGATTGGAAATAAGGTTTGGAAAATGAAAGGCATAGGTAGATTAAATGAATGGCAAATGAGGGAGTCATCAGATTTTCTTATAAAATTTAGTGGTAACGGTAGCAGTTGATTAAAAAAATAAAGTCTAGTAGAAAGCTGAAAGGAAACCCAGTAAACTACAGCAGTTTCCATTTATTTCCTTAGGGTTTCCCAGATAGTTATTTGCATAATAAAAGGAAGTTCCAGTTGAGAATTGTGTCCTTAAGGACTCATTATCAAATAAATCATAAATGTAAGCAACAATATATTAAATCTTTATATATCTTTATATCCTTATATATCTTTATATATCTTATATATAAAGATATAAGCATCTGTAATAATTTAAGCTAGTAATATTTCTTAAAGTTATATAAAACTGTTTAGCACAACTGTAATAAGTATTTATTAAAGAAATGACCTAGCATTAAATAATGATTAATTTGTATGCACTGTGCTTATTTTGTATCAATTTAATCATTAACTGTAATATTTAAATATTTAATTATTAGTAACTCTGTTGTTTTGGGTTCTTTAAAATTTCTTAAGAATTTGTGAATTAAAGAAACTTTTTTTTAAATTTTTAGCCTGTGACTTTGGAATAATTTTAGATTTACAGAAAAGTTGTAAAGATAGTACAGAGTTCCCATATACCCTTCACCCAGCTTTCCTCAATGTTAACATTTTACATAACTATGGGACATTTGTAAAAATTAAGAAATTAACATTGGTATAATATTACTAACTAAAGTACAGATTATATTAAGATTTTCCCAGTTTTTCTCCTTATGTCCTTTTTTTTGTTCCAGGATACAATCCAGAATACTACATTGTATTTAGTGTCAGTAACTTTTGATATTTTAAAATATTTATTTATTAGTAATCTGTTAATTCTTAGAGCCTCTAGTATTTGAGTTGTAGATTGTTATATTGTATGCTGTAGTTTATGGTAGTATGTTATTATGATAACTATATACACTTTTAAAAAAATATGCTGATCTAACATTTTTTCTTTTTCTATCTTAATTTATTTAGAGTTAGAATGCAATTATTTAATGTTAGACTAAGTCAAAGTCCTTAGAGAACATTTCTTTTAAGTCATTTTTTTCATTTATTGTTGCCACTGAACAGTTTGATGAAAGCTAATGGAGTACTTATTCCTATTTTCAACGTCTTAAGAAAACCTGATTCATAACATTGTCTTTTAAAGATAGTTTAAAAAAAAAGTCTATCATAACTATTTAAAGAAAAAAACAGAAACAACACTTAAAGCAACGAGGGGTAGTGACTAGGCAAACCTGAATGAATGAAAACTAGAGTTGACTTCTATACTTAGTTATAGCAAACTTGCTGAGGTCAGCAGAGGAACCAAGAGAGAATATTTTTTCCTCCAAAATTAAAATGGTCACTCTTTTCAGCCTTATTTTCTTTTTCTTTCAAGATTTTTTTTTCTTGTAAAGATGTTTCATTTCATATTACAATTTAACCATTGCCTGATTTATCTTGGATCCTCAACAAATATTGGATGAACAAATGGATTTTTTTTGAAAAGATGATACATGATATAGCATAAGTTAGTATGAATAAAAGCCTTTATGTAAAATATTTTTAAAGTCAGAATTCACTTTAATTACTCCCTGCTACATTATTGGGTACATAGTGGGCCCACAGAATATACTGAGGTAATGAATTAATTAATGATTTGTGAAATTGTCAGTGAATGAAGATTACAAAATGTATCACCTACATAGTTTTTGTTTTTTTTTTTTAAGGTTGCAGCGCCCTCAATATTGTGAAATTTCCTTTAAGGATTTTTTTTTTAAATTTATTAATTCACTCATTTGTTTTATCTTTCTCTTTTTAAAGGATCTTTCGAATAATCGTCTTACAACTCTTCCTACTAGTTTTTCTTCTCTGTTCAGCCTGGTGCGACTCAATCTTTCCAGTAATCAACTGAAGAGTTTGCCAGCAGAAATAAGTGGAATGAAAAGTAAATCTTCTCTATAAAAAAAAAATACATGAATTTCTAGTTAGTGCAATTTACATTTAGAAAAATAAATTTTAATATAGTTAGTTACAGAGAAGTAAAATAATAGATTTTTGTGGTAGTAAATGCAAACAATAACAACTAGTCACTTATTTGTCATTATTAACAGGAATGTTTAAATTAAATCTGCCATAAATTAGAATTGACATTTTAGGGGAGCCTATACTTATGATACTATAGTTGACTCTATTTACCGTTGCCATTTTTCAATAAAGGTATTAAAAAGTAGAGTTAAACATAAAATGTGATATCTGGAGTAAGAAGCATAGTTTTTGTTTTTGTTTTTCCATAAATTGAATAGGAATATTGAGAGAGAGAAATAGATAGGGAAATCAATAGAAAAATACCTGGAACTTAAAGCAGGATTTGCATCCTCTTACTCCATCTCCATTGCTCTTTCTACTACATACTGCTTGTATTCTCCATCACTGCTCTTAGATGCAAACACTTGTAAAAACTCGTTTCTAACTTGAAAACAAACTTGCTTTATAGCATTTAGTGGATTTGGAGTGGACCAGATTGTAATGTTTTCTCAGTGCTTTAGCCAAATATATAAATTTTTATAAGTTGAAAGTAGTACTATTGACCTCTTTTGAAAAGCAGTTAGCTTCTTTAAACACTGAAAGATATAGTCTAACGCAATACATCAATTCAGTCTTGAATTATGTTAAAAACTGACAGGGAAAAAGTTGTAAAATGTATATTGCCAATCAAACTACAGGGGTTGAGAGTGAATTGTGGAAAATATGTGGTGGACTTCATAAGTGGAAGAATCTAAATATGGATTAGGGAGAAAACTGCTTATGGGGAGTCTCAAGAGAAGAAGACCTTTACTTTTTTCCATTTTTGTTTTCTGTTCTGCCTTTTAAGAAAGAAAGATCCAGGAGGTAAGAGAGAGATGCTGCAAGTAAGAACATTCTTCTTAAACTATATTACACATTCTTGTCAAGAGTCTTAGCTAAGGTGTTAGAGAAAGCATGTAATTTAAAAGAAAAAGTAGAAGAAGGAAAGAAGATAGGGAAAGAGGCAGTATGAATGGATGGAAGAAGAATAGGGAATATATAAAGACCAAAGGTTTTTGACAGAACATTAACTTGCCTATTTTAAATACAGATGTATCTAAGCTACTACTAACCAGAGTTATTTGACATTCATTCATTGACTAAAATGCATGTATATTTATGTCTTGAAATACCTTAAGTTTTTTCCTTTTAAAAATGTATAAGTACTGAGGGAAATACTTTCTCATAGTGTATAGCTTATATGAGTACTTTAAAAGAGTACTACTTTGTTTAAATCTTTACAAAGATGACCTGGACTGTTATTAAACATAAATTTTAATATCATTATTTCTCTTTAATTATAATTAAATGTAAAAAAAATTTCATTTACATTTAAATAATTTAGTGATATTCTAGGATTCTTGATTATTGTAGCAGTATACAACGTCACAGGTTCTTAAGTCCTCATGATTATGTATACATTCTTTGGATGTATGTACAATTATAAGCCAGTTTTTTTCTCTATTGAAGTATTTTTGTGTTTCACTACATATGTTTTACAGGATTAAAGCATTTGGATTGTAACTCAAATCTCTTGGAAACCATACCTCCTGAATTGGCTAGCATGGAATCACTAGAATTGCTTTATTTGCGAAGAAATAAATTACGTTTTCTACCAGAATTTCCTTCTTGTAAATTATTAAAGGTACTATTTAGTTGTCTGTTGAATAACTATATATTTTCTGAAAGTTAATCATGAAAATGAAAAATTTAGTTATTTTACATAGGGAATATGTGTTATGTTTTTTTCTATATATTTTTCAGAATTTTAACATGACTAAATAGTATTAATATTACTATTGGTAATAGACTTGTTTTAAAAAAAGGAATAATTGATTTAAAAATTAAGAATTTGTCTGTTTCATTTGAAGAGTAGTTTATAACTGGAGAAGTAGTAGATGATGAAGCTAACGAAGTAAATTTGGGACTGTAGTATAGGAAACCTGCAATACCCAGAAGGAATATGAATCTAATTCTGTAAGTTGCCAGCTCATGTTTACTTGATGATAAGGTCTATTTAAAATACTTTCTTTTGATTTTAAGTTTATAGCGTTAACACTATGTTTTAAATTTGCCACGCTTTTCTTTCCCTTAGGTATACTTTTATACATTAATGCTAAAAGAATTTCTTTTAAACAAAATGATGACAGTGATATAGAGAAATGAAAAAGTTATTTAATAAGATTAATTATCTGATAATTATAGATTCTGTTAATGGGAAATCAGTATATATAATAATCACTAATAAAAATGTTTAGTAACAAACTTATTGTAATATAATATAAATAACTTTTTAAATTTATACTGACCTGTTTTAAAACTTTAATTTTTTTGTCAGTATAGTTCTTGGATTTGTACTTTTATTAATTCTATTAATGTAACCACTAAATCATTTCTTTGCTTTGGTTTTATAAGCTTTGAACTTTCTGTGAGATTAAACCTTTAAGTATTTAAAAATAACTAGAAAATTGTTGAAAATTTTCTTTTTCGCCATTTTTCTTTAGTTGTAAGATAGCTTAAATGTAATTGAAAATTTAAGCACCTTAGTGATTAGAAAAGTGTGTTCTTTCCATGTATTTTTCAGCGGTTTGAAATTAAGGTTTCAATTTTATATTCACTGTCTAGTGTAAAATTGAATACAAAAATACACATGATTGATCTTTGGTTTTGTAGGAATTACATGTAGGTGAAAACCAGATTGAAATGTTAGGGGCACAACACCTTAAGCATCTGAATTCTATCCTTGTGCTAGACCTGCGGGATAATAAGTTAAAATCTGTTCCAGATGAAATTACACTACTGCAGTCTTTGGAAAGACTTGACCTAAGCAACAATGATATTAGTAGGTAAGTCTAAAGATGGGATGAATAAGAAATCATGTCTGTATTTGGTTATAATTCGTAAGTTAAAATATTTGTAAAAAGCACATAGAGATCTTTTTTTCTACATTGAATTCGATAAATACTTATTGAGTAGGTACCATGTGCAGGCTGACAAAGAGTAATTAGATTTTGTCCTTGGCAGCAAGCTTAATATGCTTAAAGAATCAGATGTATTTACAGTTACTCCAACCCACTAAGAACATAAACTCTAAGAAGGCTGGATTTTATCTATTGTGTTCACTGTTCTATCTCTAACTCCTAGATCAGTGCCTGGGTACATAGAAGTTGCCTGATAAATATTTGATGAATTTTTTAAATGAATGTAAAGCCTTGGGAGAGACATAAAATGCTTTAGGGACCTAAAGGAGGTACAGGAACCACCGTTTATTTGATGAGACTTACCAGGGCAGACTTTGTGGAAGAAGTAACATTTTTAAATGATACTTAGAACTGAGACCAGGGTGAGTCCAGTTAATTGCCTAAGAGCACAATATTTAAAAACATACTCACTTACAGGGTTATGCCTCATTCTAGTCCCACCACGTCATCTTTGAAGGATGACAGCGATTTTCAAGTGCACATATAAGGTGGTCAGAATGATTCCCTTGGTAGGATGAAATTGTGCAAAAAAAGCTTCAAAGGTTAAAATTGTAGGCATTTATTCAGAGAATAGCAAGGAATCGAATTGTAAATAGGTGCAAGTAAGGAGATTGTGAGAATTTAGGTCGTGAAAGCTAAGTTGAGGCCAAGTGAAAGAGGTCCTTGAAATGCCCATGAAAAACCAGTTTTCATTCAACAGGTGGGAAGATTAATAACAAAACCAACTTGATTGTAATCTCATTAAAAAATAAATTGGTGATAGTGGGTTGGATACATTGGATAGAGGTAGTTTTGTAGATGGGAAATCTAAATAAATTCTGTTAGATTAATCTAGTAATTTTTATAACTAAATGGCACTTTCTGTATCCAGTTCACTGTATTGACAGCTTTGTAGATTTCTCTGTTACATAGTAAGATCGTAAACTGTAGTGAGAATGGGATGGAAAGAAGAGGAAAGATGTGAGAGGTATGATGACTTAGAATTAGTATTCTCAGTTGATTGCCTGTTGGAGATGCAGAGGAAGAAGGTAGTGGGCAAAGGATCATAAAAAGTTGTAGAACTATAATATTTAGAGAAGGAATTATTTTATGGATATTAAAAAAAAAGACTCAGACTTACTTAGGATCGTGTACCCATTAGATGTCTGAGGTTTTGTGCTTGGATGTCAGAAACATGGTTTGCTATTCACAGGAAGAGAAAGGTTTAGCAAGGGAGACTTTCTTCTATATGTATATTTCAATAACTTTTTAAAAATCAAAATTGTTTTCACAGTGTACATATGGCATATAGTATGCCTTGACCATAGATTTGAATGCTTGGACAGTGACCATTCTTTCTACTCACTTCTGTTTATGACAATATTAGTAAGTGACTTGGATATTCCTAAAAATGCTTATAACAAATGAATGAAATAATTTCTTGCCTCATTAATATTGGCATACATATTTTGTCTCATAGCAGTTTTGTTTTGGCTAATATGTAAAAACCTTAGAAAGCAAATATTTAAAACAAAAACAATGACAATATTAAATAAATAAAGTAATCAGGACAAATATTTCTGATATATATGCTTCTCTTTCTCCAGAGCTCTGGATATAAAGTGTGTATATATCACAAGGAAGACCTAGAACATAATGAAACTAATATTAGTTTCTTACCTTTCCTCTAACCCCATGCCTCCTTGATATCAGACAATTCTACTCATTTTGTACCCCTCCAAAATCTCCTGTAACCAAAATATTGATTCCTCACAACACTACCAGAGTACCAGAGTAGTTTTTTAAAAATATAAATTATCGGGTTGTGCTTCTACTGAAAACTTTTGGTGACTCTCCATTTGTTATAGCATTATGTATCAGAACCAAATGAGAAACTTTAAGGAAGAAAATTCTGAGGCAACAATGAATCAGAAACTCTAACATAGGACTGTAGAATTGTTTTGTGTTTTGTCTTAAAAAATTCCTAGGAGATTTTGATGCCTCTGGTTTTCCAACCAGCAATTGGGAACCACTGTCTTGCAAGATAAAGTCAGACATTTTAGCATAACTTTTGAGGACATTTCACAATCAGACCTCATTCATTCACTCTTTGTCATCTTTCACTCCGACAGGTATCCTACTCTCTGAGTACACTAAAGTGTAAATGTACCAACTTAGTTTGTTTCTTTCTGTACCTTAGAATGCTGTTTTCTTATCTGACTGCCTGATGGAATTCTGTTGTTTTAGGCCCAAATCCAGGCTTTGCTACTCCCTTATCCCCTTAGTCTCCTTGCTCATTTCTACTTTTCTACTCTTAGAACGATTTGTTTAGCATTTGTCATATATATATAT